TTGGGGATTTCCGGCTGAAAGGCCTGGAGGCTGGGGTTCAGGGTTTTTGAGCCCGTTTAGGGGTTCAGGGTTTAGGGATTAGGGGTTTAGGGTTTAGGGTTTTAGGGTTTCGGGGTTCAGGGTTTTAGGGGTTTAGGGTTTAGGGGTTTAGGGTTTGGGGGTTTAGGGTTTAGGGTTTTATTTTTAGGGTTTAGGAATTAGGGGTTTAGGGTTTAGGGGTTTAGGGTTTAGGGTTTTAGACACCCTAAACCCCAAACCCCTAATCCCTAAACTGTTAAGACCCTAAACCCGAAACTTGCAGACCCCGAAGCCTGAACCCTGAACATTGAAACCCCTGAACCAAAAAACCCTTACTGAACCACTAAACCCTATAAACCCTAAGCCCTAAACCCATAACCTAAACCCTAAAAACCCCTACTAAACCCTAAACCCTAAACCCCTACTAAACCACTGAACCCTCAACACTAAACCCTTACTAAACCACTAAATCCCGAAACCGCCTAAACCACCCTAAACCCTAAACCCTAAACCCTAAACCCTAAACCCTAAACCCCCAAAGCCAGTATCAGCACCTGCCTGCACGCTCGCGTCGAAGAGCTTCAGCTTGCCAACCTTCCAGGGCCCCTGAACCGAACCCTTAAAGGGTCCAAAGGACCTAACAAACAGTTAAGGTTTAGGGTTTAGGGTTTAAGGTTTAGGGTTCAGGGTTTAGGGTTGAGGGCTGAGCCTAAAAGGGTCCAAAGGACCTAGCAACAATTAAGGTTTAGGGTTTAGGGCTGGGGGTTTTGGGCTTTGGGTTTAACCCTCAAAGGTCCAAAGGACCTAACAAACAGTTAAGGTTTAGGGTTTAGGGTTTAAGGTTTAGGGTTTAGGGTTTAGGGTTTAGGGCTGGGGGTTTGGGGCTTAGGGCTGGGGGTTTTGGGCTTTGGGTTTAGGGTTGAGGGCTTAGGGTTTAGGGCTTAGGGTTTAGGGGTTTAGGGTTTTGGGGTTAGGGTTTAGGAGACCTAGTCAATGATCAGGTACTTTGGTTTAGGATAATTGTTTTGTAGGATAGTATTCGGGAAAGTATATAACCACCACCTTAGCGTGGTCCCTGCCTACAGCATACTGGTGGGTATAGGTTTTAGGGGTAGAGCGTCGAAGGTGAAATCAACTCAGAACAAACACTAAACCCTGCAAACCCTTAAAATATGGGCTCTAATAATTATAATGGGGTTTAGGGTTTAATGTTATAAACAAAAGGAAACCCCAAAACCCTATTCTAATTATTCAGGCCCCTACATTGACCCGAAACCTTGAGCCAGTAAACCCTGCAAGCCTTTAGTACAGCCCCTACATTAACCTGCACTGCGACGCAAAATCAATCTGATGTGCTGGGCCCCTGTGCCCCCCCGCCATCCTGCTTCGCACTGGGAAAGGCACCTCGCCGACAGAGCTCGTTTTCGACTGACTCGAGCAGCTTCGCCGGTTCAGGTGTTCTTGACGCGATCTTCAATGCGCGCGCCCACATGGCTAAGCCCCCTAAACCCCAAACCCTGGGCAAGTTTCTCATGAGCCCTGACGCTGGCCAGCCCTCCGGGCTTCTGGTCATACTTGGTGTCTGCATAGCAAGAGTGTCGTACTCTTGCGGAACTCCAAAAATGTTACAAACCTGCCAAGACTGTAGGCTAAACCCTAAACCCTAAAGCCTCAACCCTAAACATACTATAACATCATTCGTCATGATTTTGGGCTTCGCCCCGGAAAGCCTCAAAGCCGAAACACCAAGAACCCCTAAACCCGACACTTGCCAGAACCCCTAAATCAAAGGAAACTACAGGTGGGGAGTTTATGGTTATAAGGCTTCTATAAGGCTTCTATAAGGTATAAAGACCTTCCATAAGGCTCCTAGAATAACGGTACGTAACTACCCACCTGCTAATGTCCTAGACTCAACGGCAAGAATCCAAACAGCCCTGCAGCACCCAAGTGCACCGTCTCAAGGAGACTTCGGTCCTAAGCCTTGCAGTTTTATAGCAGTCAAATAACCACACAATCCCCAAACCCCCATAGGGTTCAGGGGCCTTAATACTTAGAATAGGGTTTTGGGGTATACTATACTAGAAGTATAATCTTAGTGGCTGAGTAGGTAACCATAACCTTGTGGGGCTCTTATAATCCTACTATAATTCAAAAGGTCAACCTTTTTGGGCTAGGGTACTCAGCCCCTAAGCCGATAACACCACAACCCAAATACTTAAACTCTAAAGCCCGAAACCCTGAACCCCCAAGAGCTCCGGACAACTAGAGATGCAATCTCCTTTCCAGTCACCCAAACCGTGTTCTGATCTTTCCAGCGAGGAGAGCTCTTGAAGCTTAATGTAGGGGCCTTAATAATTCGAACAGGGTTTCGGGGCCCATGATGCTATAATTATAATAAGGAACCCCCCAAAAAAAATCGTATAGGTACTTCTTTAGGCCCCACGACACCCAACCCGGAACCCTAAACCCTAAACCCTTAATCCCTAAACCCTAAACCCTGAACCCTGAACCGTAAACCCTTAATCCCTAAACCCTAAACCCTTAATCCCTAAATCCTAAACCCTTAATCCCTTAACCCTAAACCCTTAATCCCTAAACCCTAAACTCTCGCCTGGATGTGTCCATCGCCTGCTGTGGCGATCTCCATGCCTTTCGCAGTGGCAACCTGCCGGGCTTGCGGCGTAGAGCTAAGGCATTGGGGGAATGAGGGTTAGGGTTTAGGGTTTAGGGGGGGATGAGGGTTTAGGTTTTAGGGTTTAGGGTTTAGGGGGGATGAGGGTTTAGGTTTTAAGGTTTAGGGTTGAGGGGGGGATGAGGATTTAGGATCAGGATCCAGAGTTTAGGCTTCGGTTTAGGGTTTAGGGTTTAGGGCTTTAGGGCTTGAGGAGTAAGAAGGAGGGATTGACTATGGCTCCGAGTTTACGGATATGGGTTTAGGGTATCAGGGTTTTAGGGATTCGGGCTTCGTACCGCACTTAAGAGACAAGATCCTACCATTTTTTGAGCATAGGGATCCTATAGCTCTTGATTCCAGCCGTGCCGCGAGAATTCTCGGCCCGTGTGCGTCCTTGCCTTACTTGCGGTTTAGGGTTTAGGGTTTAGGGTGTTCATTTATGGGACTTGTAACCCCCTTGCAACAACACATGAACCTCCAAGTACTGCTCCTACTCAAGACAACCTGCCGGGAGGGATACGGTGGCAAAACCCCGGAAGGCCCTACAGAGAAGGCTACACACGGCATAAGAATAGCATCTATATGCTACAGGACAAAACCGACAAACAAGACTCTCGAGCGGCTTTTGGTCCTTTGGATGAAAGAAGACTACTAACCTATATCCTATGTGAAAATATCTATATACATACGAATATATACTTACATAGTGTCGCAAACAATGAACGTATCCGGCATTGACCCCCGAACCCCAAACTCTCAACCCAAAAGCCCCGAGCCCTAAACACTTAAAGTCCAAACTCCGAAAAGGTTTCGGGTTTAGGGTTTAGGATTCTTAAGAAAGAAGCCCCTAAACCACAACACCCTAAACCCCCTAGGCCCTAAACCCTAAACACGCGCACCCAAACCAAAAAAAAAGCAACGGGCCTTGATAAGGGCTGCCCGAAATTGAGACTGTGCCTTGGCTTCGGGTTCTGATGCGGAAACTCCAAAGCCTTAAACTCTAATAGAGGAGATACTTCAAGGGTCCCCTTAAGGGGTCGGGTACCATGAGAGTTTAGGGTTTAGGGTTTATAAACCATATAATATGGTAGCTACTTACGTTGGCCCCAAAGTAAGTGTATCGGGATTAATTACATCACGGCCATGTATGTCTATACTACAAAGGTACATGGACCCCTAGGGATTGGGTGTTCTGGGAACTCTTTCAGCGCCTGTTTCGCAAAACGCAGGGCTTTGGATGTTACGAGCTTAATGTTCAGAGCTGTCCGGTTTCACGCCCCAACAGCATGAGAGTTTCCAGCCGGAGACATAAATGCAGGGAGAGAGGGACAGCGAGATGGGGAGAGAAAGATCAAAAGGGACAGATGGAGTCACGCAGAAGCTGGGTGAGGCTCGGAGACTCTGACTTTTCACATATCTGAGCGGCTACAACAAAGACAAGATGCAAGCGCGACTCGCTTGTCGGCTCAGGGCGATGCATTTCGTCTTTAGAATAGGTTTGAGAATTCGGGTTAGGGTGTGCGGACCCGTTTCGTTTGCATCTGGTGGAGCAAGCACTTACACCGGGAGCGAAACCCTTGCAAAGGGGTCTCGAACAGAACAATCATGTGAAGAGGATTCCTGGTCTGGCTGGTTTAAGGCATTGCAAAGCTTGAAACTACAGCGGGCTGGTTGCTGAGGCTCACATAATGCGCAACTGAAAAGCTTAGCGAAGTTGCCTAGGACTCTGCCTGCCAGCAGCCGAGAGTAATGAAAGGCTCAGAACCAGCAACTATGCAAGCAACGGCATGCATCATTTCTGTGATAATGCAAGAACACCCCCTCAAAGAACCTAAACCCTAAACCCTAAACCCTAAAACCCTGAAGCAGAAGGCAGATATTCGCCGTCGTCTCACAATGCCCGAGGCCCTGGCAGCTAAAGCGAAGGACTTGATCTCATTCTCCGCCAGGCCTATATCTGATCTTACTTGTTTAAAGGAAACTACAGGTGGGGAGTTTGGGGTATATATAGGGCTTCTATAAGGCTTCCATAAGGTATGTAGAGCTTCTATAAGGCTCCCATAATGGTAACTACCCAGCTGAAAATGTACTAGACTCGACTTATCCAGTATCCTAGGGGATAAAAGGGTTAACCGGTCAACCTTTTGGGTGTTATAGGGAATTTTGTACCGAAAAACTTTACGCATGCTGCAAGAAAGAACGAGCCCTCGACAACTCCGATAGCCAAGAACATCAGCGGCCCCAAAGTCCTCTCTGCGGCTCACCGGTCAATTCAACACATGACTCAATGACCCACGCCTCGAATCGAGCCGCGAAGCTCGTGAACCGCAAAACCCGCAAGCTTCCTCAACCGCGAAGCCCTCTAGTGTCCGCACATCCACATGGGGAGCGCTGCTCTGAATTGGTGCGGTCGATGGCTTTTGAAGGAGAGGCGTTATTGAATTGTGGATCCCTTGGGTGCCCTCAACAGTACCTATAGTCTCCATTGTAGTTCCGTTTTCTGGTTTAACCAAATACTTCCTAAGGATTTTATAGGGTATCCCCAAAAAGGAACTACAATGGAGACTACAGGTAGATACCGACGCCTAAATGAATCACCTCAAAAAGTATAAGTCCAAGTCTGAAATCCCTGAACCCAATGCCCTGAAGATCCGGATGCTTCAGTTCACATCAGCGAAACCCTGAACAATATAATTTACCCTACGCCTCTGAGTGTCACTTCTGTTTCCATCCTACCCTGGAAGGGACAAGGTCAAGCGGACTGCAAGAACCCCAGAAATACTGAGAACAACTCCATATAGCAACATCTTAACCCTAAACCCTAAATCGTAAACCCGCCGACCCTGATCTCTGAAATCATGAAAGACCATGAACCCAGGATCCCGCAACATTATGTCATGTCCCGCAGGCATTTTTGCAGTGTGTACAAGACATTTCCCCAGGTTCCGGGCTGGAGAGAAGCTCCTCCGCACCATGCTCCAACTCCTGACAGGTTTCGAGTCTACCTGGACCCTCACAACCCCTCACAAGAAACTTTGTTAGGGTTGCTTAAATACGATTTCCTTGTAGAAATCCTTAGAAAGCAAGGTTATTTGGGGTTGAGGTAGAGTCTATAGAGTTCTACATAGGCCCGACGGGACCTTGCCTGTTGTGAGCACGGGTCACGCACGGCCACAGATTAAAATAGGAAATGTTGGTTTGGAGGGTGGAGGTAATGGTCGGCAAGAACGACTTGCGGCTCCCGGCGTTTTTATAATGTTTGAGGCTAACATATCCAAGTTTAATGTTTGAGGCTAACATATCCAAGCAAGCTAAGTATCGTCTACCTTGAAACGAGTAGGATCGGGTCAAGCCATTCTGTAACTTCTGCGTGCTGTCTTGAGCCTGCAAACTGGGATTTTACGCACCCAAAGTCAAAGTGGCTGCCGAGTTCATCACGGACTGCAAGATAAATCACAGCCTGCTACATGTCACGAACGACCTAGGGCAGCTAAGGCCTGTATACAAACTGCACTGCACAATGGTCACAACAAATGCAAACCCTACAGTGCCGCGAATCGAAGATGAATTCTCTGCGTCTTTGCAAGACGGGCGCCGGCTCTGAGAACCGGAGAGGGCCACTTCAGAGGTGCAGTGGCTTGTCAGCCAGACCCATAGGCTCCAAAGTAGTTCCTTTGTGGGGTTCATATATAGAACCCTATAATCCCCAAAAAGGAATTACTATGGGGCCTATGGGGAAGTGCAAAAGGTTTCACGCGCCCCGAGTTGTGACCCTGTAGATATGCCAGGCACGCACAACGCGAGCAGTAACATTGCATGTGCAAACAGAGTAAGGATGGTGTCAACTTCTCTGTTGCAAGCTCTGCAGAGGCTTTCGGTATATGCCACGGTGGGCCGCAGCCGACCGCGAGGTCGAACCGCGAAGATCCAAAACCCACGCCCAATCTGCCTGCCTCCTGGGTGCCTCGATCTTGGAGCACCTTGCAGGACTGAGGAGGCACGCTTTTAGGCTTTCGGGTGTTGGGGTTCATGCTGCTAAACCCTACTAAACCCTAAACCCTAAACCCTGAACACTAAAACCCTAAACCCTGAACCCTAAAACCCTAAACCCTGAACCCTAAAACCCTAAACCCTGAACCCTAAACCCTAAACCCTAAACCTTAAACCCCAAACCCTAGGTCGGTGCGAGCTCCATTTTTCCGGGGTGCAGCCTGAAGTACACTCCTAGGCTTAGGGGCTGAGTACCCCAGCCCAAAAAAAGGTTAAGGGTTAAGGGTTTAGGGTTTAAGGTTTAGGGTTTAGGGATTAACCTTTTGAATTATAGTAGGATTAGATTAGCCCCAAAAGGTTAAAGGTTACCTACTCAGCCACCAAGTATCTTCATTGGCCCGGCAGCGGCAACAGGACACGAACTAGGACCAACTAAGCGCTAAACCCTTGAAAGCTAAATCCTACATCCTAAACCCCTTTACTTCACCACGCACCGAACGGACAAGCTAAGATGCAACAACAACAACAAACATCCTAAACCCCCTAGGACCTATACCCTTTAACCCTGAATCCTAGATCCTACCTGTGGCCCAAAGAACCTACCTTTTTAAGGACTTATATAGAGAAACCATAACAGGGAACCCTAAAAAAGTCAGTTTTTTCGGCCACAGGTAACTCAGCGACTACAGGACTGGGCCAGGTCTTTCCCACCAAGGCTTTACACTGACGAACTTTGGCCGGTTGCTGGGTTCTGTCCGGAAGTCCCTAAGGCCCTAGCAGGAGGGCTCCCGTGATCTTGAATATGAGTGCGCGGTTATATATGTATGTATGTATGTATGTATGTATGTATGTATGTATGTATGCATGTATGTATGTATGTATGTATGTATGTATGTATATATACACCTATATCTTGGGCGATCCTAATACATGCACCAATTCATACAAACCATGTTTGACCGAAAACAAGGCGATTAATGAATCTGGATCTCAATGGGTCCATATGTAGTACCAGTAAGGACTTCGGTCCCAGTAGTAGTAGTAGTAGTAGTAGTAGTAGTAGTAGTAGCAGTAGTAGTATATCTGGACCTTCTGGCTTTAGCCCTGCAGTCAATTCACTGTCCTCCATTATTGATTATTTAGGTAGTGGAGCCCTAGAGCCCTAGAGCTGGGGCTGGTGAGGCGTTGCTGCGCTGCTCGCAGTGGTGGCAGCAGAAGTGACACGACGCCGCTGGTGATGCGGATGTTGGTGACCGTGGTGGTGGTTGTTGAAACTACACGGGAACAAGCAGAAACAGCAACAGCAATACTGACGAGACGAAGAGTACCACTTGCCACCAAGCAACGAAAACGACGACGACAACAAGATGCTCCGTTACTACCATACTCGGACTCAGAAATCGCGCCAAACCTCAAAGCCGAAAGACCCCCGAGCAAAGCTTTCTGATCTCTCTTGGGCCCACGCATCCATGAGGACTGCGGCTTTGTCCCCCTGCAGGTGCCCCAGAAAAGGACATTTGCTTTCGATCTCAACACTGTAAAGTGCTTAGAGTAATGTAGGGGGCCATAAGAATTTGAATGGGTTTTTGGGGGCATGGTATACTACAATCATAATAAGGCACACCAAAAAAGTATAGGTAACCCTAAACCCGCCATATTGCTTCTCATTGTTTAGTGTCTTTAGACTGTCCGATTTCGGCTGACATCCTCGCAATGCTCATCGCAGGCAGCATCAACATCACCATCATCCCAGCTATAGTCCTCCGCTCACTAATGTCACCATAACCGAAATCTTCGACAATAAACCCAGACCATGGAAAACAAGAGGCCTTTGAATAATTAGAATGGGGCCGTGCGGCATGATGCAATATAAACACAGCAAGGAAACCCAAGAAATAGTGTTGGCAATGTGGTCGGCCCCTATATCGATCACATGACAGCTGTCAGCCTCTGGCCAGGGGCATTCCGCGCAACTACTCACATGTTCTGTCGGCGCATTCTGAAAGTGTTGCGGGTTGGATGTCTCGGTTATCCTCTATCTGTGCAAGGAATGACCTGCAATAGACTGCACCTTTCCTAAACCCCCAAACCTGCTTGTAGGGTTCGGAACACTAAAACCAACCTTACAATCTCGCAAAACCCTCATAGACCCCTGTAGCGCGAGGATCTTTCCAAACCCCGAACAAACCCAGAGCAACCGTAAACACGACAAAAAGCTGTAATTCACTGCAAATAGCCCTGCAGCCACAAACCATAAATCCTGAAGTCTAAAACTCGAAGCCCAATGCCCCAAAAGCTCCAAAACTCTAAACCCCGAACCCCTCAACCCCACAGTCGGCAACCCTGCCTCGAAGCAGTCTTCTGTCTCCAGCACTGTCATGCCAGCATCCTGCTGTAATTATAGGATCCTTAAGGGAGGGTGGCTCAAGGGGGGAGGGGCCTAGGGAGCTTTAGGGAACCTAAGGGAGTACTTGGGAGAATTGGGGATTACTGGGTTATATACCCCCCCTTAGAATCCCTTCCTTTGAGGATTCCATTCTGTAAGGAGTTCGCTACGGCTCCATACGAGTTCTATCAGGGTTCTGTAAGACGGTTGTTACAACGGTTCCCTAAGTCTCTAAGCTTGACAAACGGACAAAGCTTACGACAATCCTGTACGAAGATGAAACATGTTGAGGGCTCTACGTGGACGTTGAGCTTTGGTGTTAAGGGTTGTATAATGGTTTTTGAAGCCCTGAAGCTGTCAGGATTCGGAGCTCTATGGTATTCAGCGTGTTGCTGTTAAGGTTAAGGCTTAAGGCTTAAGGCTCGTGTTTCGAAGATTGATTTCCTAAAGTGGCTCAGGAACAAGAATGGCTCCATGAGGTTTTGGGGGGGTCTTAGTAAGGTCTAAGTAATGGTTCGGATACCCTAAACCCTAAACCCTAAACCCTAAACCCTAAACCCTAAACCCTAAACCCTAAACCCTAAACCCTACACCCGGGCATTCATGGTTGCGCAATCCCTGGGGGTGGAAGATTTTAGGTGTCGTCAGGCTTTGACAGGGGTCTACTTGGAGGGTCGGGGGACTTAGTAAATGGTTATTTTATAGACTTATAAGTACTATAACCCCAATTAGGGTCCCTTTTAGGGTACTTATAAGTCTACTTATTTCCTACTTACTAAGTCT